TTGTTCATTTATATTATTTGAAAAATCAAGTGACTTAGTTGAATCACTTGCTATAACATATATCGACTTTTTGGTTGGGAAGTATTAGCCAATAAACCAGTTACATGAATCTTGGTAGCCAAACATTTAGTAGAGTTTGATCATACCGTTCACTCTAAACTATAGTCGTGTATAGTGCCTACACAACAATCCTCATTTCTGTCTCAGTTGTCAAGTTCGACTTCTGCACTGCAACAAATCACCTGGTAGGAGAGGACCGTAACTACTTCAGACCAGTTGTGAGAAACACTACAATCACTGAAATTGATGGTCAAGAAACCGTCCAAAACATTTGACATTGTTTGCTTCCTTTTGTACATCTTGATTTATGAGATAACCATATTTTTCAGAACAAATTAATCACTGTTCTATGCTTATATAATGTACTTAAACATGTATATAAGTTTTAATAATAGTTATTTACTGACAGAGTTTATGGTATTGCTTTGAAGATAAAGATTTGTGACACTTTGTTGTAAATAAGTACTCTCTTCAGCTGTTCTCCCACAACACTAATAACTAGTTCTAGCTTAGTAGTGTGTTTCGGTTATGTTCGAACGAAATTACGTTGTTGTATAGCCTCATAGACCTATTCAGTAAAATAAAATAATGCCTTGTATCACTATTAGTTGGTGAGTAGAGACTTACGCTCTCACATTTTACACAGGGAAGTAAACTCATAACTCGTCTTAAAGTCACATTGTCAAGAGCTTATGTGTATAATTTCTAAGTATCATTTACTCCTTTCAGACAGATCATGATCACAGATGAACATAAAATGCACGAAGTAATTTCATTGAATAGACAGTAGAGAATTGAACCATCATTAAAATGGAATTCTCAGTCAACGATTGTTTCCTCTTATGTGAAATTAATTATTTTACAATATTCTTTACTCTAGTAACCAACAAATTATGATTATTGTATTGCAGATGAAAGATACTAATCAACTACATTTCCACTTGACGTTGAGTAATTTTATTTGCCATGCGGTCGCTATTCCATTGAGTTCTTTACTTATCGTTAATAATTTTCGTCTATGGAAATGCTTTCTACTTGCTAGAATTATTGTTTCGCTTCAAATGATCATCGGATCTTTTTCTTGTAAGTTACACAGCATTTAGCGAATCTTCTGTATTTCAAATGACAATAACAACTAATGTTTATGAATATCAATAATCCAATCTACACTGACATGTATTTTAACTGGTTTTAATTTATGAAGTTGTTTCCCATAATTTCGCCTCACCCAAATTTCTACTAACAACATTTACCAGTATTATGTATTCTTTATTTCTATAGTTTGTTTACCATTAAGCAAACAACACCTGAACATGTTCTAGATGACTGTTCATGTTAGAAGTATACATATTATTCTATAGGTCTGTATAAATTAAATATTATTTCAGATAGACTTTGTGTATCATTACTTACTTGGTATCATTAACAATATGTCAAATAACTTAGCGTTTGAGTTTATTTATTTGTATTTCCGTACTTTAGTTGTTTATTTTAACCGAGCTGGTCTACTAGTATTGCAGGCAAAAAACCTGTTTTACATCAAGGAAAACGAACCGGTGAGTGCAGATCATCAATATCAGTGTTTACAATCAGTATATTAAATGAGTTGACATTTCATTTAGTAGATTAATGTTTTCCGTTGAACTCTTTTCAAACACTGAAGATCACAGTGACAATATTGTAAACCGTCGTTCAAACATTTAACAAAATGGAATCCATGAATGTATAACGAATTACTCATTAACATATATGTAACTTTACATAAAATAAACAAAACAGTTTAGAGAGACCAAATCCTGTCGTAAATACGAATATTCAATAAATAAACAGAGATTTCAACCAAACATAAGTCAATATCACGTAACAACTTGTGAGAATCTAGCCCGGGTGAAGTAACATGAATGCTTCGCCTGAATAAGTCGAATTACGTAGTTCTCGTAAACATCTAGCTTAATGATCAAAGTCGTGACATGAAAATATATATTTCAAACATGGACAACCGTTTCAGATGGGAGAATATTGAATATGCCATTCACAAACTGGAAAACCAAGTCACTTCAGTTTACCTCTAGGAGAGTAAGAAGTTGTGGTGTTGTCGATTTTGAAGCTTTCGTAGTTTTATGCATGCTTATGTAAGCGAGTGTTATCACCTTGATTTCTACTCCTCATTCCAGTTTCAATTATTATCCGGTACCATGGGAAGTTTTTAATGTGTGCATTAAGTTGAAAGACAGAAACATCTAGAAATTCAGTATAAAATTACTGATTCGTTTCTATGGAAAAATCTAAACTATCTACACAGTAGGATCGATTTGGAAATGCAAGGCATTTGATTAACATAGGAAAATGCACACCATTGATGTGTTGAAAGAAACACTAGTTAAATTAATACAATTTGGAACAGTTGACTTTCACCCCTATTAAATTCACACACAGATTTACAAACAGGTTTTATAATTCATGACTAAAACATTTCACATTGTCTTCAAGCTTTTCATGTTTCTTCATTCGTGTATTCAACACCATACTTACGTGAACTGAGTAAATAGTGAGGAAACAAAGTTTTCGGAAAAATGACTATGTATTGTCAAAGTGAAAAATAATCGAGGTGAAATCTCCATTCTCTTTAAACGTATAACATCTACAAACAGAGCTATCAAAGTAACAAAACTACTTCGTGTTTGTAAAGCCTTAGCTGGTCTACTCGACTATTTTTATGAGTTCTTTTTTACCATAAGACTCTTTTTGTTTAAAATAACACCCATGTGAACTTAACTGAGATTATCTTCAAGTGATTAGTATTTAGGTATTTGTAGACTTATAATGCACATCACTGATTTGTTTTATTTCAGGGTTACAAGGAATTCAATCAATGTGCAATCAGCGAATGGTTCGTGATATTGGGATTAATAGAAGTCACTTTGATAACTGGCTTAGAATTAAGAACTTATGAAAACCAGTATGAAGAAATCAATAAAACCGTGTGAATATACGGGGAATAACTTTTCCCCATTTTAAATATTTCTCAAACCAAATTGTACTTATCTGTGTATTATTTTACGAGGATTTGTGTTTTCATGTGTGTAAATGAACTAACTCACATGTAGATATTCGTCATGTGTTTGCGTCAGAAGACTTTCATTAATGAAGTTGTAAGACTTTGAGGTTATAATTACTACTTTGTTAGTTTACTATATTGTTCCCATTAAATTTATTTACAATTTCTTTTCATTATTGTCTGAAATGTAAAACATTTGTATATTGAATAGAATATCAATTATTAAATACCTATGGAGCTCTGGTAATCGTTTACATGAGCATGAGCAAAAGCGTGACCACCGAAAACGCGATCGAAATAGGGTAAGATTGAAAAAAAACAGATTACTAAGGGCTTGCAAAAATAAGGGTGACAATTAGAAAGCTGCACATTAATAAAGATGAGAATCAACAAAGAGAAAAAAACGTTTAAGTGTTTAGAGTATAGACTGTGCGACCTCTGTCCATTTTCCTCTACGACCAATCAAATACTCAACACTATAAAAGTTCAGTGAAAAGCCCACTTTCAACAAATACTGTAATTTTTTTAATCGAGTCATAATTCGTCATTTTTATTACCCCAGTCACGCTCTCTTACTCATCTATTTCACATAGAGAAGCTGAGAATCAAGTTGACCTTCTGAATAAATATTTTGGCATTCAAAACTAGTTAGATTTAGACAATGTGTCTTTAGTTAATATTGAATTTCATTTTGATTTGGTATTTTCGACCGACTTATTTTGAATAACTGACTCGTATTTAAGGTTTGGCATGTGTTAGACATAATCAATACACCTCTCTGCTCTATAATACTAGGTTGATAGTAGGTATGTTGTAAATAGAATTAACAACTTTGAATGATACAAATAACGCATTTCAATTTCCTAAATGTGGTTTCACTTCATCTTGCACATACACCAGAAATTTTAACAAACAACTATAGTCTTTCTTTACCTAAGAAGTTTGTGATACCTGTAGCCGTTTTCCAGTCAGAGGAAGTGTACAAGATGATCTCACCATATTTTCCAAATCAATTTCTTTTCCCTTGATCCTTTTTACATCACTTCTTTCTTTTCAAGATATTCGAAATGATTATTCACATACTTCTTAATGCGTTAAATTTACTGACTATAATTCTAAAAAGTTTATTTTTCGAGTTTGACTCACATCCTAACGTAGGAATATTTGCTCATGTTTTCAAGCTATTTATTATTTATACTATTATTATCAGAATGTGTTTTGTGAAGATTTTTTAGAGATTTTCACAGATTGAACTCATGAGTCAGTTCAAGCTAGACCACCATTGAAAACCTGGAAGCACTGGACGGCCGTTTCGTCCTAGTATGGGACTCCTCAGCAGTGCGCATCCACGACCCCGCACCACCCGGGGCTCGAACCCAGGACCTACTGGCTTCGCGCGCGAGCACTTAACCATTAGACCACTGAGCCGGCATCCAACGGCTATTGCTACTACTGCACTAGTCAACTAATAAAAGGTTTGTAATTGTAAATTACTGTTATCATTTATGTAATTTGTTTCACAGTTAAAACTGGCATATGACAAACCATTCGGTCACTTATCACTGCTTTCAATTTATTCAGTTAAATCAATGTGGATATATCACAATGTATCGATACTCTTCCAAAAATCCCACTTGAAAGTTATCCGTTGTTCCATAGAACAAACATACACTACAGGTTTTGATTTTCCAACTCAGATTTCTGAGAAAACAGAGAGCATTGGATGATTCAGAGTAACTTCGAATTCCTCGAAGATTGTTTCCTAATTCTGGAAACACATGCAACCATAGTATTTCCAAGTGATAATCAAAATTTCAACTGATGTAAGTGAAAATCAAATTTCATCCGATTTAAATGTTTCCCCAACTGACTTTCAAAACAAATTAAGAACCACGTTTTCGATTTTCTCACCAGTTAGTTCATAAAGAAATGATCAATATATTCATCAATTTGATTTAAAGATTAGTGAGTACAAGATGTCGCTCGAAACAATTGACATATTTTAAACTTGTTTCATAAGTTGTATTGTGGTAATATTTCTGGTTTTATTCCGTGCTAAAACGTCTTCATATGTTTGTGTTTCCAGAGCAATGACTAGAGTGAATAGAAGACACGCAAGAACCAGTACCCACTCAGCAATTGCACAATAAAGGAATTCCCAGTAGCCCTAAACACGTTGACAAAATAAATAAAATATTAGTTAAAGCACAAAATACTTCCTCACATACGTTCCAACATTCTTCTTGTAAAAGTTATTAAACCCTATAGTGCTTCCATATCTATCAATAAATGATGCCACTCTCCATCTTTCTTAACACAGCTTATTTTCATTTAATCAAGCTCGGTCGCGTTTGTAAGACTGCAGAAATTATCTTTCTAGGCACAACCAATCCACACTAACCGATAGTGTGAATTCACTCAAAATTCAAAGCATGTTCATCCATAATATTTACAAAGTTCATGCCATTTTCAACAACCACCAAATCGATTTTAAAAATATCAAAATATTGCAAAAAGGCTTTTCTAACTACAAAGAAAGGAGGGTAGCCGAGGCGTTCCATATAATGCTTAATCCTACTTCTCTCAATAGAAAAGAAGGGCTTACCATACATCCTACTTGGACCATCTATCCTAACCATTCAGTCTGATCGTATTTACAATTTCACACTTTCATATTACAAATTTAAACTCTATCCTTTCTTACCATATAGGTCACACAAGTGTTCATTCTTAAACAATGCACACATACATACACACACAAATTTACATACTTATCACTTATGAATCACCTTGACAGAAATGACATGACATCAACTTGTTCAGACCTGTTTTTGATTGATCAAATATTATTCTTGCATTGTTCCGTTGTACTATTTAAACTTTTTATTAATTTAATTTGGTTATTTATTCTCTGAAGAAGTGACTTACACTAAGCCACGAAACGTCAGAAAATCCAATTTTCTACTCATTGGGATATTACAAATATATTATTTTTATTTATAACTTACACCATCAGTTGGTTTCATTCGATAAACATTCAATGTACTCAATAAGGGAAGCCCAATTACGTTGAAATAAACATCTAAAAATATACAAACAAATATTGGTGACGATTAAGCTTGATTGACTGTTGAAATGTGTGCATTCAACAAATTGGTCATAGGAGGCACAATATTTCCACACAAACGCATACACAAAGCTACATGGATCTGACCGAACCACACTACAGAAAACCAAATAGATCATATCTGCATCAATAAAAAACTACGAAGGACAATCGAAGATATAAGAACTAGGAGAGGAGCTGACATAGCTTCAGATCACCACCTATTTGTGGCCAATTTAAAACTGAAGTTAAGGAAGAACTGGACAACTGGGCAAACAGCACTACAAAGGTTCAATACAGCCTTCCTTCAAGACAGCAATTAACAACAGCCGAACACGAGCAGAGAAAGTCCAAGCACAAGCTGAATACATAGAAGCGAACAAGCAAGTGAAGAACAGCATTACAGCCGACAAGAAGAAATACGTAGAAGAACTAGCAACGACGGCGGAAAAAGCTGCAAGGGAAGGAAATATGAAACAACTTTATGATACAACGAAGAAACTAGCAGGGAAATACAGTAAACCAGAGAGACCGGTCAAGGACAAAGAAGGCAGGCCAATCACTGAAATTCAACAACAGAAGAACAGATGGGTAAAGTACTTCGAGGAACTCCTGAATAGGCCGGCTCCAATGAATCCACCGGACATCGGAGCAGCACACATAGATCTTCCTATAGATGTCAACCCACCAACGACGGAAGAAGTTAGAATGGCCATCAGACAAATCAAGAACGGGAAAGCAACAGGACCCAACAATATACCAGCTGAAGCACTGAACTCAGACATCGAAGTAACTACAAACATGCTTTACCTTCCTTTCAAAAAGATTTGGGAGGAGGAACAAGTGCCGATGGACTGGAAAGAAGGACACCTCATCAAGATGTCAAAGAAAGGAGATCTGAGCAAATGTGAAAACTACAGAGCCATTATACTACTGTCAGTACCAGGGAAAGTCTTTAACAGAGTGTTGCTGAACCGGATGAAAGACGCAGTGGACGCCCAACTTCTAGATCAACAAGCTGGATTTCGTAAGGACCGGTCGTATACGGACCAAATTGTATATATATATATATATATAGAGAGAGAGAGAGAGAGAATGTAGCTTATTTATTGTGTGAGATACTGGGCAATATTACGCAATATTTAAAGCCACTGAGCGTGGTAATTGCTTGGACCTCAATTAGATGGTCTCTATCAACCAGCATGGCTCACGCTCACAGTCAGTTATTTTATGAACTGGTGAACAGTCGTTGTTCAGCCAATTCTAGATCCCCAGAAATTTAACGCACTTTGAGGTAGGTGCTTGTTGGTAGTAAATTCCCCATGTCTAAAAAACCTCAATCCATCAATTGTTTATCTATAATATTTATCAGGTTTCATTGAAACCATTTAAGTTTAGTTATAAGGCGAAGACAAGATAAAAACTTGATTGTTTGGTAATGACTTGCAAATCCCATCCAATTAAGCAATTCATGTACTTCGTCTATGTAAATTGAAGTGACAATTTAACAAAAACAAATTATCTAAAAGTTGGAATTAAGGCACCATATCCAGAAGATTTGACAGGAAGAACAATTGCCGACAGAATGGAAAGAAGGATACTTCATCAGAGATGGTGGAGAAGATTTGTAGCTCAGGTGGATGATTTTGGTGGAGTTTTGTTCCAAACCATCCAGCTCAGAGAACAAAACTCCACCAAGATACTTCATCAAGACACAAAAAAAGATTTGAGCAATTCTGATACCCGCAGAGATATCATGCTACTATCAATGCTAAGAAAACCTTCCAACAGTGTCGTTGAACCAGATGAGAGATTCCGTAGATGCCCAACTTTGAACCAGAAGACTGGATTCCGTAAGCGCCGATCGTTTAGTGACCGAATCGTTACACTACGGACAGCCAAGTGAATGGAACCTGTCACTATACATCAACTTTCCTGGCTATGGGAAATCGTTTGACGGCGTAGGTAGTAGAACGTTATGGGGTCTTCTCCGACATTATGATGTAGATGAGATGATTGTCACAATCACATAGAACTTCTACGTTAGGATAAACTGCAAAGTCGAGCATGGAAGGTAGCTGAACAGATACATCTCAAGTGAAGGCCGATGTCAGACAGTTTTGCTTACTCGATCCCTTTCTCTCTCTTCCGGTCGTCGACGCCACAAGGGAGCATTTCTACAATTGAACAACATATTGAATTAAAAACAATTGCGTGCAAGCCAATATCAAAGTCACAATCTCCACTACAAACGTCAAGACAGTTCTACTGTACAGAGCTGAAACTTCAAGAACTACCACAAACATCATCAAACATTTACAAGTATTTATAAACAATCGTCTACTCGAGATACTCAATGTCTGTTTGTCGGATACCATCAACAACAGTGTACTGTGGAAGAGGGCAAACCAACTTCCATTTGAAGAGGAAATTAGAAAAGGATGCTGGACGTGGATAAGATATACATTACGGAAATCATCCAACTGCATCTCGAGATAAGAACTAACTCGGAATCATGAAGGGATACAGGAAAGTGAAATACCAAATAACACACTTCTTCGGGAATCGGAAGCAGACATCAAAGAGTGAAAATCGATTGTTAACAAGTAGAAAGGAATATACGCACACTTTGTTAAATATTGTTTTTTGTATAAACGTGAAGAACCGAGAGGTAACATTTGTACTACTACAATGGACATCATCAACTTTTATATTAAACAGAATCTTACTGCTAATGTGGTCATGAATACTTCTGACAAGAAATTGTCACAATAAATTTTATCTCAAGTTATTCTTCGATGAAAATTATCTATCTTGAGTATATATTTATTCGTGTGTATACAATAACTTACATGATATTGTACTGATCAGCATTTTCACAATAAGTGTAAGTCGAAAATAGCAAAACCAGAGAGGTTTCTCAAAATATTTAGCCATTAGGTAACATCCCAACAAAATTGACATACCATGACATATAAAGTTTCCAACTGTCATCAGAAAATGTATTCCTCCATAGTTTTCCATCTGTAGGTTGTTAAAAATATGGATTTCTGGAAATGTAAATGACATTCTTGAATACAGAATTGTAGGCCTCGATTTTAATTTCAAAGTTATGATATATTTTGATTGAGATTTCGATTTAACTTTTTGCATGGTGAGTTGGTGACAAATCAAATACAAAAATGTACATAAATTGCTTTGCATTAATGTTATATCCCGATAAGAATAATGAGTGGTGATTTTTTGGGATCTATTTATGAGCCAATACTGTGCGTATATTTTTATTGTATAATTGTAAATTAACTAAACTATTCATATTCGTATCTCTCTTAACATAAGCTTTATTTTAACCTATGAACCGTTATTATAGGATTTTCCATTCTTGAATTATTCCCTGTCTATTAATCACTACCCCACACATTCACAGCCACATTTGGCCAAATCTTGTACAAATGTTATTTTCTATTTTATGGTACGATGTGGTCTGCTTGATTGGTATATAAAAACAGAGTATGTTTGAAATACATGATTCATATCGCATAGGCTCGGGTTGGCGCGTTCTGTACTTTACTGGCTGGACTAGGCAGAAAGCAGGACCAGTCAGAACTCTAGGCTGCTCACACTTGTTTTACGCGTCCTCGGTCCGACCGATAACTCACCGCCCTCTAATTGGCAGTCACAAGATAGAACAATTAAATAATTTATAAATGTTTCTCATGTAAATTTAAAATGAGTGGTTAATCATCAACTGTAGATCATTTGTTTCCAGATATTGAGATGGTGGAGATATCATCATTTTGTATGTAATTAATGATAATTAATCTAGGATGGCTCATATATTTTGTAACCGATTGCAAAATGATAATTACAATATGTTATTTGAAAAATTGATACATACAATAAAACTGATGAACATTTGGACAGGTTAATATAAATGGCTTACTACTGAATAAAAATGTCAGGTTGTGACTACTTATAGTTTTCGTAAATAAATTATCAAGGATATCATTCTAATTTACCATTGGTAACTATTCTATTTATGGAAATGAACTGACAGCAATCATTGCCACAGATCTAATCCACTACACCAGTCAGTTAAAATAGCAGTGTTGCCACGCATCTGCTGGCTTCATCAAGGCACAAAGGCTACTTGAAATATAACCTACAGATGATAATTAATTTAATAACGTATTAGAAATTTTGTTTCTATCATAATCTGCCACTTATCAAAACAATCTCCTTGATATTATGTGTTATTTTATAATAATAAAAGTAATAATTATAATGTGAACACAATTTGAAAACATAATCACTGGATAATAAGCCAATATTACCAGGATAGATTGAAGGTGAGAACAAACTGTTTTCGAATACACAAAGGGGGATTGAATTTTCGTATGGCTAAGGCTTCAATAAACCTTAGTATACACTCATTTACACTTTTATACAACACTACAAAAGCCGAGTTAAGATCAATCTTATGGCCTGTTCCATCTATATGTTTAGCATCAGAAGATGATGGATGTTTATCCTCTACTCTTATTGGGTCACTTGATTCTATTTGTTTCTACAACCATTTTGGTACAGGTTCCGTTTAGCTGACCTTTTATTTTTTAGATATAAATGTGTGGTCAGATTGTTCGAAATGTATTGCGCTAATATATCATATAGTTCTGATAATCTTCGTCTTCTTATTACATTATCAAAATCGAATATACGTCAAAAAATATCAGAAATTTTTTACTATCTAGTGTCTACATATGTGTAACTGTCCCAAATATTGAATTGAAATTTATATTCATCTGTTAATAAAGTGATGTGATTATAATCACCATCATTTCAACATGATCTTCGTCCAACAAACGAGTTTGGTATTGTACAGTATAAATATAGACACCTGAAATGTTTGGCTTCCTGAACTTAGTAACTTAGTGGACAACTCAATTGTGTTTGAAAGGAATGGTACTGGGTTCGTGTCCCGGGGTGAACACTAAATCTGTGATGCAAGTACATCCAGTTGACGAGTCTGAAATAGACGAAATAAACGTCCTGGAGGCCATTACTAGCCACCATTCATCTGTGCTTATAATCCTTGTGACTCAAGGTACTCCGCATAGGATGCACGCATGTCAAAAAAGACTGATCAACTGCAGTCTTAATCATCAATGGGAAGATTCAAGCAACCTATACAAATGGATTGATTGTGGAAATTAAATAAATTCTATATTTACATATTCAAATCATTTGAAAAAGTGAACAGAAGAAGATAAGAACTGAGTAAATTAATTACTGTGAGTGTAGCATATGTATTGTAAGCAACAGTAAAATCTCAATAATATAGCAAATATTTAAATCGTTTATTAGGAATGAACAATGGTAAAATCGAAAATTATTTCCTTATTATGAGCAAACAGAACAAACAATTATAAATATACAGTGTAAAAATCACTTTTACTTTGGCACAACATTTCATTAAAACCATGATTATAGTTGACAATCTATTATGTTAGAAATATTATAAATTACTCACGAGTAAAAACATAATAAACTCACATCGAAAATCGATAGACCGATTAAACACAATCCAGAAATGATCATTAATAGTCTGATAGATGAGTTGATTAGATGAGGAATAAGAGATTTGGTCATAATTACAATTTTACGTCTAGCTATCATGAACCAAAAACAGTTTCCCGCCATATCTAAAACGAGTGAACGAAGTAAAACACTATGTAATGTGTCACATATATATAAATATAAGTTGAACAATATGTCCCAACCACACTGTTTTTAATAGAAGTGAAGATCATTACTTAACGAGAAAATTTTCACATTAAAATCATTCTGTATTGACGATCGACGATCATTACATTCACTAATAAAACTGGTCACGAATGAGCTAGACAAATGATGCTGATGAACTCATTTGCATACTGTTCATGCTATTTAGTCGGCATTATTTGCAATTAGCTTCTAAATGTCATAATTCGAAATCATTTGATCTATCACATGTATACAAGCATTACCACAATAGAGAAATATATTTGCTGTAGCAACAACTGTGTACCGATGAAAATGCTTGTTTAGTGTGCCCCTTCATTTTGATGTCAATTAGATCAGACGATGATGTTATTGACAGGCTCATCACTTTTAGTGGCCCGATATCTCACTCCATTTAAATCGTATTATTATTGTTGTTATTGAAATATACATTCTGCCATTCCTCGTATAGAATTATCGACTTAACTCGCGTTCGTGATTAACGGAATTGAATAAGTCGAATACGAGAATGAATTTCGAATACCTATTATTTTGTACAATTGTGAATCAGAACGGACAATCAGGGAGAGAGAGAGAACGAAGGACGCGAACTGGATAGAGTCTAGCGAAATTAACTGGAGTAGTTATGTGAGCCGATTTATTTTAGTTAAATGTTACTCAGTATCTGTAGCCGAATCAAATCGATTTGAAGCGAATAATTATCAAGGTCAAAATGTAGCTTGAGAAGAATGAATAAATCGTTTTGTCCAGAAGCTAGAATAAGCTATGTAGGCTTGGTATAGCAGCCGACAAATGTTTTCTTCAAAATCGTTTCAACCATTCATCGAAAATCACTGAGAATTAGAGTACATAATTGTTCTTTATAAAAATGATGAGATAACTACTATCCACTCAGAAAACCTATAATATTTAAAGAACAAACAAATAATGAAAACATACATTCACTGCGTCAATCAAACTAATTTAACCACTTAATGATTGTTTGAAATTTCCATGAGTAGACCTCTAGTCTCAAATTTATGGAAAGATTTTCTTCATGAATTATAAGGGAACTGATTAGCGTGGTTAAAATCCAGTTGCCGTTATGAAAATGTGTATCTCTCATCATCATTTGAGTTCCAATATTGCATTACACCTTTTGTTCATGAATTTAATTCCTGATTTCCATGTGACACTGCCCATTTCTAGTCTTATTAATTATATCTGATACCATTGTGATAACGACTACTATCCTATTCACCACAGTAATCCAATCTCTCTTTGCTGATACACTGAAACAACTTTGGTAGATATCCATTTTTCATAGATCTTAAGTCGAGTATGATTCAGTGATGAGGTCGAATTTATGAGATCGAAGTATATTGTGTTAAATACTAAATTTTGTCAAGCTGATCCAGAAACAGTGTACTAATATGTAATAACTTTTAACGGGTACTGGAAAATGTCTAATTTCTTTTGATGTGATAGGATGGAAAGAAAAGTCAATTTTCGATTGAGTAAATTATGAGTTTTGTTTAAGATTACTTCCGTTTTGATTACTCACTATAGTATTTCTTTTCTTTTTTCGTATGATATTTTATTCTGTTTAATATACGATATTCTTGTATTCCATTTACATGAACTATGCTTAGTATGTGATTTGTTATAAGTCTAAGTATTTTTCATATATGGGATATCATCCTTATTGTTAATCAAAATGGGTGTACAATCAATACATAAATGAGTGTATTTTTTACTAGAATCGTCGTCGTGTTTTGGGGTTAATAAATCACCACTTATACCAGTCTTTGTGTTCTTACTTCCGCGTCGTGGGAATTGCTGAGGTCCCTCGTTCCGAGTATAAGTGATAGGCGTTTCTGACATAACAATCAACGAAGACCAGATACAAAAAGTAGCATTAAAAGAGCCAAGACAATAAACTTTCAAACAACAAGTTATAACATGATGAAAAACGATCTTTCTAGAGAAAGTAACTACATATATTTTTAGATTTTTAATTGAATTTACATAGTTTTAAAACGTGTTGTAAATCACATTACTCACTGAATAGAGCATAGCTAATCATCAGCACTTGAAACCAATGTTTTTCTGGTGGGAAAACTCCAAATGCACTAAGAATTTCAAAGAGAAAGATTTAACTAGTTTACGTTAAATGAATTTAGATGATTATTGTGCAAGATATTTTATCTACATCTATATTTTGATGAATCATGAATTACACTGACTGATTTTTTTAATGACATCAACAAACGTAGAAAACACTTTCTGAGTTTCTAAAGCATGGTTTTGTATTAATATAATACAGCTCTTTCTATTTCTTAAAGTTCCATATAGTTGAAGGCAAAGAATAGAGAATCATAAACGTGTTAACTGAACAAGAAATTAGCATTTTCGGTTAATAGTACACTTTCTGTACCCAAATTATACTAAGTTGAATTTTATAAACTTGATCTCATTTGATCCTGGATCAACTAATGACAGACAACAAATATTTCTTTTTCTTTCTTAGGTGAGCTGCACATCTATTTATTAATAGTTGTCAACATATCATAAAGTATTTTACGTTTTTGTTGATAGTTTATTAAATCATGATATTCTGAAGAAACCATCCCCTCGTCTTTCTTTTCCAATGGTCATTCTGATTTGATAAATATGCTGAAGATTTCTTGATATTCTATAGGCTTATGATGGCAGTAAAACTGTAGATCCCCTTCATTGTTCCTCATCAAAATCAAAAGTATTAAATTCAAGTAAACTATTTTTGCATATACTTTTTCAGAAAATCATTCTCATCATTTATCACTCTAACCTAGTCAACATGAGATTAACTTCGTTAATGAATGATTGGTTTGTCCTTTTTAATTATGATGCCTTAATGCTATACAGATATCAACTTTTACTTTATCCAGATTACTGACTAATTATTGAGCTTGTTAAATATCAAAACAACTACCTTGTGGTCAATGATTTTGATTTCAGAATTCTAATCTCCTTACTAATTTGAATTTCTATCATATTTTGTAATCTCATGTGATTTAAACATGTGACGCTTAAACGTAATCGTCAAGCTCACCAGAAATCCATTATTTCAGGAATAATTATATCAGTGTTTTAATGATTTCACCATTGATTTTATTACTAATTGCAAAAAGTAACTAGACTAAAAGCTTACCTAATTAATGGGAATAAACCATTTACATGCTCGTAATATACAGATGCTATATATCTTTAAAAGAAAACAAAGACATGATTTCTTTAAAATACGTATGTACTTTTTATGTAGTAAATGAAATATGAAAAAAAAAAGATTTAATACAATATAAGTTTGTGTTCTATCTAGACCTGTATACAAATACGAATTGTGGTTACTCACTGTTAAGTAAACTGTAATTGGTTAGTAAGCAAAAATAGACATCCAGCTACGGTAAACAAGTATACGGTAACTAAGAATTTTGATCAAGTTTCGTTTGTACTGTAGAGATACAAAGCTCAGGAAATTCGTATACTGCCCAGTCCATGTACTTTTTCTGTTTAAGGTCATTTTTAACGATCCATCCGCTCTCTTAGTCAAGAGAACGTCTAAGAAGGCAATTCGGCCGTCACTCTCTTCTTCATATGTAAACTGAATGGCTGGATGCCCTTCATTAAATCGCCTAAGAACCTCTTGCGGCGACGTATTGTCTTTACAGAAGATGAACGTGTCATCCATGTACGTACAGTAAAATGTAAAGTTTTTAATAACCTTTTTTAGTGGAACATTTTCTAGTTTGGCTAGAAAAATATCAGTTAGTATAGAGCCTAGTAGTCAACCCATTGCAACAACATCTGTTTGTATATATATTTCACCGTTGAACTTGAAATTCACATTCATGGTGCATTTGAGTAATAACTCTTTCACAACATAAATAGGAACAGTAGTTTCAATTTCATTTTCAATCAGTTTTTCACCTATATATTCTACAGTCTCTATGACTGGGACGTTTGTGAATAACGATGTTACATCCAATGACATCATCTTTAGTCCCAACGTATTTGCATTTTTGATTTTATCAACAAATTGGAACACTTCCTTAACACTATATTTTATAAGCTTTTCGTGTAGAGGTTTCAATACTGTTACCGACCACTTAGCTATAGTATGGTAATGAGAGTTATACATATCTAGAATAGGTCTTAATGGGATCCCCGGTTTGTGTAACTTTGGTAAAGAAGAAATCCCTGTTTATGCGGATGAATCGTTAAAAAGGAACTTAAACAGAAAAAGTACATGGACTGAGCAGTATACGAATTTCCTGAGGTTTGTACCTCTATAGTACAAACGAAACTTGATCAAAACCCTTAGTTACCGTATACGCACTATATGTTCTGCTGATATAGTTGAACATGAGCTTAACACATTGCATAATACTCTCACGGGGAACGGCTATCCTAGAAAATTTATAATTAATTATATGGTCACGAAGGCGAAAATAGGCGAAATTCAAACGGTTTCACGCCTATCCGGTACAAGAGAAATTTGGTTAGATGTCTCACTAGCAGAGCTAAAGAGATCTGCACAATAGACACTCTAAGTCAGGAGCTTGAATTCATCAACAACTCACTGACAGAGATCGGCTACCCCAGTGCCTTCATTAAAAAGTACATGTATGACATAATAAGGAAGTCGGAGATTTCGACTGTTCGTAAGAAACCTTTATATATGAAACTACAATTCAACGGGGATGTGGCCAGTGATACTCTGAAATATAGGTTAACGAAAGTAATCACCATGACATTCTACGCAGCCAATCTTGCGTTGGCTTTCTCTTGTTGACCAACGATGTCTACGCAAACGAAGGATAAGTTACCTGAGTTGGCCTCTTCCATGTGCATTTACAAATTCAGCTGCTCCTGTGGAGGTAGCTATATCGGGCGTACTACCAGGCAACTTGACCAACGAATGATTGAACATCCACCAGCGTGGTTTACAAAGGGCCAGATAAAAACAATTCGCAGTTCTATCTTGGCATACCTCATTGATAGCAGTCATACTGTAGATAAATCAAAATCATTCCGAGTGATCTATCATATACCTCCATCATTTCCCAACGGAGTTCATTCCCGCCTCCTACATATAGCTGAAGCTATAGGAATTCGTACATATAACCCTAATTTATGTGTACAGAAGAAATTCGTAACCCCTCTATCCCTCCCATGGCCAGTTATAACTTAACTAACAATTTTTTAAAAATTATTATTATTTATTTATTTTGTTCTATTTTTGTTATCCTTAACCTTATTTTCACATCTAGTATTTGTTTGTAATTTTTCGCCTCTTGCCGTTTGTATTCTTCACTATCTAATTATTTACACACTTCTTATTACGTAATGATTTTAATGTTTTGTGATGACTATTCCAAGTCTATTTACCCACTTTTGACCTTCTATTTCCAACCATTAACTATTGATAAGACTTTTGTTACTGTATTTTATTATTCTTACTACTATCAGTACACTTGTCTTCCTACTATCAACATGAATTTTACATATTATGTGTGGTGACCTATTCTATTTCATTGTGATTATTGACCCATATTGCCTTGATTGGTTTAATATTTTCGTATAAATATTGCACAACAAGGGCGGCCTGATTGAGCATCTGGGCTACCTGTTCCTGCCATCCAGATATTTCAACAAGTTATCTATTTTTGTTTGTTTTAATATATCAATATGTTTATTAATCGCATGATGTATTCTGCTGCGTTTCTGAAAAGTGTACAACCTTTCGTTGTCAAAGTTACAAAAAACTCAATAAGAGCCAATGTGGTTGCTGGTAATATACAGCGAAAAGAATGCACATTATTCAGATGTTCATTTACTGAACTGCTAACATCTAACTGGCGATCACTCAATATTTATCGCCAGGATCGACCAAGAAGAAAGAAACGGAAACTTGTTGAAATACTTTACGCTGAGAATTCTATATTGTATCAATAATATAATATTGAATAAAGCTGATAATAATAATAATAACAATAATAATAATATATTAGAGTAAAGCCTGATGACGACCTAATTGAAAACAGTTGTTCGCTTATACGTGTTTTTCGAATTGTAATTGCACTATTATTTCTCTCTCACCCTATTTGACCCATATTTATTCTGATCATGGATCTTAAAATTTCACTTAACATATATGCAGGTTCAAGTTAACATTCTATATGAGTCATATCATATCAATAATTTTATTGTATTTTGTTTAACAATCCTAAATTCAAATGCTTTAACCGATGTACTTTGCCCTTAACCTGGTCATTTTTCGGATTATCATGAATGGAATTTATCGAAAAGAATATTCTTCGTTCGAATACTGTTCTTTTAGTATGTTATTAACAGTGGAACAGATAAGATTGATTTTTGATTCCCGTTTTTATTTATTACCCATCAGTTAATTTTTTATGAAAAACATCTTATATTTCTAAACTTGATCTCAATATAGATATTCAAAATTAAAATTGAGATAATTGACTTACACTGGAGGAAATCCCAAAATAGCAATAATTAACGCAATTTTAGAAAACCAAACTGGTTTAACCTTTCTCCAACAAATTAACATTCAACTTCAATTATACTTTTCACAAGTTGAGTTAAAATCTAAAATTAAGAAAATACAAATCATATTTCTGAGCATATTACGAGGCTACAAACACAACTATCGAGTGCATGCATAACTTTCGAATGTATTCCAAGTACGATTGGAGTCTATATGACCATACATCGATCGATTACTGAAATAAGAAAAGTTATCACTAATTCAAATGCATTTTTATCTTTGAATATTTGAACTGAAATAATTAGATTTAATGATATCAATGGAACTTAACTCACCTCTATGTTATAAGTTCTTATAAAAAACTTAAATGCTCTTCATTCAATCAGGAAGATAACCCCAGTGAGGTGTATCCTTGACTATCAAAATATCTTAACACTTTGTATGCTGGACTTTTTACAGTTCCAAACATAATATTTCATCATGACATACTACCATTTCATATCTTTCGTCTCCAAAATAAGCGCGTTATGATTAGGTTATGCTTCTTACTCATCTATTATTACTGTGTTACCTTTCTGTCGTATAAAGTAATCGCTCCAAATAGTTATGATGTCATTATTGTTTTGCCACAAAGAACAATATGGTGGGCATTTATGGTTTCCTGAAAACATTTTTTTCGCCTAAAATATCTAAAATTGATTGATCACTGAGCTATGAGTAATATTATATATATATATATATAAACGTATAGATCAGATGGAATGTAGTAATTTTTATAACTGAGCATCATTTTTATTAGATCCTATGTTATGAATGAGACACTCGTGAAAGTTTAAACAAATCTAGTCACTGTATTCTAAAACAATTAAATGTTGTTGTCGTAAATATTTTTGAAAACTCAACTTTTAATCTCTTACCCTTGCTATTGAAATATTAAATAACATGACAACGGTGCTACTAAGTACATTTTGTTTTCTGAAAATATACAAATTAGAGTGTAATCAAGTTTAAACATGTTTCTTTAGCTATAATAGTAATCACTGATGTTTATAATTTCATTATTATGAAACCTTTAAAATACATTTTCATTGTTCAACCTAATTTACTACGGTTATCTAAGTATAAATAATATGTGAATAAAGCTCATAAATTCAACAACTTACACAAACCCCTACATAAAAATCGATATATGTAACTCGCAGCTAAGTACAATTGTTAGGGAGAAGCTATAATCATTGAAGTTGTTCTATGAGAGGCGTGAGGTGAATTTCAAAAACATCAATGAATGATGATCATTCTCGAATTGACTATCGTTAGAAATAAAATAACAATAGATCCCAAATCACTGGTCTAAACGTTCGAGGATCTCTGTGAGACCCGGGGTGCCAAGAGTTTGATTCTTGGTTGAATCATGGATGTTCACTAATGATAAGTATTATAATAGGACTAAGTGATTTTTTTATGTTTGCTTGGTTTCAGTGATTATTTAATTACAGCCAATTTGTAACATGAAACTGTAGTCATAGCACCTGCAATCCACAGCCTCCAATACTGATAACTATGAAATCACTAACTATAAACCGTGATAACGTTACACACAATTACACTCAACGTTTTCTTTCTCTTTACGGTTCTTCACAGAATACAGTTTGTATATTATGAGTAATAACATATATTTTCAATAAAGTTCACAAGCACATTAATATAATGTTGCCACTGATTCAATATCAAAAGCCCATGATCGCAGATAAAGATTTAACCATTTGTAAATTATCCCTATTGAATTCTGTTACTAATTTAAATCAAGTAGTCTAAAAATAGACTACTAAATTGTTCATGCATATCCCAGTGTAAAAATGTGTAGTTGCCCTCATTTTATTGATAAACAGAGATTATGGATACCAGTGATTGTAAAGCAAATGCTTATTATTTTTTTTATGAACAATTCATTTAGGTCTCTTTACTGAAAACATTTCCAAAACTTGTGCGAACGGACCGCTTGATATCCGTATGACATAACACTTGATTTCATTGTAGATTCAACAGATCAACATGTTAAGCAGATGTACTGAAGCCCACTCCTGAACAACTAAAAATGAAAAGGTTTATTTACTCTCAAAAATCCGACCCGAATTGATAAGATTTTGGAAAGCACTCTTTAAATGTGAAATCAAAGTGTAAACTTTGGCCACCATCAATTTTATTCCATGTAATTATGGATCATTAGTCAATATTATTTGATTGATATCAACTAATACTGATCAAAACCTAATCGGTAGCACTTCGACGGTTACTGCCGGTTCCAAGCTCGGATTCAGTAGAAGGACTAGGCATGTCATAACCAACACCATCCCCTAGAAAACAAGATAAACAAAATCGCCTCTTCCAAATGTATGTCACACGAGCGTGTACAACTGACTCAAGATTATTTATCATTATTGGTTATGGAAAAACTGATTACTGAAAGTCATACGTGTGTAAAGTTTGCAAGCACTTTACAAATATTCACCCTGATGTTCATCATGTGCCATTTTCACTGAGTAGGAAACTACACAGATAACAACAACTTAGCATTTTCGAGAATAGGGATAGTCTATGATGATCTCATGCTTTAAGTACTGATACAATTTCCACCATCTTCAAACACACATTTTAGTCATTTGTTTGAAATAAACTATCATTTTAGATAAAAAAAAAAGCAGCATTACATCAAGCCATTCCAAATAACACGACTGCAATATCAGACAAATATCATCGATAATCATTAAGCAACTGTCTTTTCTCCACATCATCTCTATTCTCATATTAATAATTCATCGTAATTAATACAGCATATAACACTTCACCCTTATTTACTCTGTTCTAATCACTCACATTTCAAACTATCATTCACTTGTACATTTATCAATTGAATAATCTAATCCAAGCGAATCATGGCGGTATCCGACTAGTAGGCATTGTATCTATGCTTATACTTGTAATTAAGTTTTACCAAGAATATTTAATACACCAAACCCTATCATATCAATTATCTGTCTATTCATCAACTGAAATTATAACATTTAAAATGAGTAAACAAATGGAATAATTTAATTAATAGCAGTAAACTCACTTTCATACAATCAATCTTTAATCAAATGTTAATGTGAATTGCTTCATTTAAAATCGAGAATATCACAGTATAACCGCAAGCGTGCAAACTATTTTATAACTCAATCCACATGACGCTTTTCTTCAGTAAAACATAGTCATGATTTTAACCAATCAATCAAGAAGTTATTAAGAATATTGATTTGTGTTTAAAATGCATGTAAGCTAGCTATCGATACTTGTTGATGCAAGAGATATGATTGAATGAATTACTGCTGATAAAGTAGAATATACTTGAAGTAAATAAACTTTCTTGACACATTCTAATATAGCGACTCTCCTACAATCAATTTTTATCATGGTTAAGTTTTGTTAAGCCCTCTTATCAACTTACTTAACAGATAATGCTATTCTAACAGTAACAACTCTTCTATTTCTATGTCCTGCTACGATTATTGTAATATATGTATAAACATGTACGCTTGATCATATGACAGCCTATGCACTATCTCCCCCCAGTTAAAATGTTTATAGCTTAAATATCGATCGATGTGTCATTCTCTTCACTGTGTATGTATGTACTCAAATCCTATTACTAGCTTATGCCTTACCTAGCTACGCTTAATTCGATTTGACCAAAAATTTGCCTCCATATTTGCTCGCGCATACACATTCGCCTTTCGGCATCAAATTCACTCTATGTTCTTAAACCTTTGTTGTTTGTGATATCCGCTAATCAACTGTAGTCGCCTCTTCCTACTGCCTTCTGATTTCAAACACCGTTGAGAATTATATAATAACGGTCATTAATGTGATTGATTAACGAAGCTAAGCCACTACACTAATCAGGAGAGTGAGTTTCGTTTTCACTTTCGTATTTGATGAAGAACAAAAGAGGTAGGTATACTTTTTTGAACTAGTAATATTACGCTCAAAATATTTTAGATTATAAAATGTTCACCCCCAAAAATTACAGTTTAATTAAAATCGTGAAGCGATACACATTTTTCAACAAGATAGAAATTAGGAAGCAGCTACTCTTTGATATCTAGTAAGCTTTAGTGCTTTAAAGAATTGCATGCATGTTAATATTTATAGTGAGGCTCAAACCTAGTGTTTAACGCTTCAAAAGGCTACAAGTAGTCCATTAAGCTAATCTGGTCAAATACTCGTCAGTTTGTTAAATATGTATCCAAATATTTGTAATTGTTTGCATGTTTATGGTTGGTATTACCAAGTTCAGTTGGTCAGTATTTATTAACATGTGTGCATTCTTCGCAGATTGACTTATTTGTTATTTGTAATTTCAACCCCTCTTTTCAGCTATTTTTGTGTTTTTTTTCTTACTACTTGATTACAATAAGTAACTTGAGTCATAATCGAACAATTCTCAGACTAATGCACAATATGCGTTTTAGCGTGTAGCGGTAAATAAATCCCCAAAATAAATAGCTCTGTAAGTTTTCGACATTGGATGCTGACCATATGTTTTAGTGGACTCATCTAGCTGAAGGCGCTCGGTCATGCATCCGCACCAGATCACGTGTGGTAACGCCGTGCTCAACATCAACCGCAATCGCTAGCCAGATTAAATCAGAGAATTCCGATATATTGGTCATCGCCAAATATACTCTTCCGATCTCCTCGACTCTGTCTTTTGATTTCTCTGGGTGGGAACGAAATACATTAGAAGGTGTTACTGGTAGAAGCGTTGTCAAACACTGAATACCTGTGACATCATCAAGCGTTTCTCTGGTTAGCGTTTTTTTACCGAGTTAGTTTTCTAAGGGATGGGGTCGCTAACCCTATGCCCAACCCTTCTCATTTATCCCGGCTTGGGACCTGCAGTAGCTCCAGAGAGACTCCATGAGGAGTTTCAATATGTATGTATAGTCATAAATCATTTACTCTTGTGTTTTGACGTTTATATTCACCCTCCTACTTGTAAAAATAATTTTCTACTTTCTCTTTGCATGTTATCTAGTGTTTTCTACACTTTTAAACCCCGTATAACTTGAAGGATTAGCTTATGTCGATATATTAAACCTAATTTGAATACGATTTCAGCTAAAGATGATAGTTTAGTGAAGTTATTCTCTCTGAGCTGCATGATTTCATTATGAAGCTTTCATTCTCTTAGTAACCAACCTCATTAACATGAATCTCAGGTAAGTAAAAGCTACTCAAATTTTCTAAAAACAACTAACTGTTTGTTCTATAGACCTTCATTTCGTTAATTTGTGGTTGTTATCCTGCTATTATCTATGTATTTATTTCAATAGTCTTCCTCTTCAAATCGTTTCTTAACCTTGTTGTTATCTACGAGTCCAAGGTTCAACAGAATTCAACCAACAAATCGAAACACACCGAAAATTATTAACTAGTTATAGATGTTGACACATGCAGTATTCGAAAAATTCACTGTATGGAAGTTCTCATAAGTCAAGATTTTCTTTCTCCATTCAATATCTTCTATGTATCACCCTCTTTATCTCTTGTTGCAGATGATAATAGCAGACATTACATAGATACAGCTGCATAACTAACTGACAAATGGCATGCATTGGGTAGGAAGGTAGCAAAAGATATTTCAGTATCTGTAATTATGTTTATCTGTAACCAGCTCAGTCATATTAGCGTGCTGGAGAAGTAAAGTTATTGAGTTCATCATAATCATATGTGACATCACTCATTAGGACCCCTATCTATTTTTAGTTACGAAAAGAAATCAGAAAGTTCAGTCCAACTATTTTTTGGGGAAAAAGGGATATTCTCGGCTGTGTAACTTACATGGTGATTCAGATAACTGGATGAGCATACCTATACTGTCAATGTAGTTGAATAAGTCATCTAAATCTTTGGAATATGATTGGAAATAATTTTACAGTTAGTTTTTCTAATCGATGTAAATGAATGGAAAACAACTGCATCTTTCGAATTTGCAATGTAACTTGGTTGGTTATCACAAAAGGACCATCAACCCCATTAGCCTCATCACTGCTTTACAAATAAAAATAAATGAATTTGCAACAAACTCAGTGCATGTGTGCACCATGTAGAATAAATTATAGGGTTCCAGTGCGGAGTTGACGATTTCTTTACTTTATATCATGCCTCAAATCACATACACTCTCTGATGTTATTAAAACCATAGAATAGTTATGGATTAATGCTACATCAGTTTCTAAGCTAATTATTGTTTTGCATAATTGGTAACTAATATACTTAAAATGTTTCTTTCCCAACCAATATCTCAATTTCTAATCCTGTTACACGCATCTACAACATTCCTTTTATGTTTTTTCGAAAAGAATTCAAAAGTTTTGAAATTGACTATTTTCTGTTACAATTTAGATGAGTATTACAAGTATGTTAATGACCTGAACACGCTCATCAATTCTGTTCGATTTGATCTTAAAAATGCAGAAATTACTAGTGTGTACAGAAATTCTTGAAGTGAGATTACCGGGATTGATAGGTTATCGCAATTACCTTACTTATACGGTCTACCTAAAACAAGCAAACTCGACATCCCGATAAGACCAATATTATCTATAACCAAATCATCCTTCCATGAACTCGCCTCCTGGTTGACAAGGTGCTTAGAACCAAGCCGTAAGAAACTGGCACCCTACAGTCTGATGGATAGTTTCGGATTTGTACGAAAGCTTGATAGCCTAAATGCTTCTGATAAATTCATGGTTTTGTTTGATGTCTCCTTACTCTTCAAAAAGATCCCGTTGGAAGAAACGGTAGATATAATATGTGAATTCCCTGAACTTCTGACTTTACCAACCCATGAATTCAAAAAGTTCCTGTTTCTGTGTACCAAAAACATACAATTTCAATTCAACAACGTGTTGTACCGCCAAACTGATGGAGAAGCCATGGGTATTCCTTTGGGTCCGATTCTGGCCGACATATTTATAGGAAACATGGAACAGAAGAAGTTCAAGCATGTAGTTGATGGAACTACACCCTACTGTAGATATATTTATGACACGTTTCTCGTCTGCAACAATCATAAGTACTCCATGAACCTATTCAGTCTGTTTAATAAGCACACAAGGAGATTAATTTTACTATGGATCATGAAGTAGAAGATAAATTCCATTTCCTAGATATTTTAATCAGACAAACATCAGACGGCACATTACAAAGACACATTCACCGCAAAAATACCTGGAGTGGAGTTTATCTCAATTATCATAGTTTCTGTCCAATGAGTTACAAAAAGGGTATCGTGCGAACCCTTTTTGACCGGATAAGCAAAATTTGCTCAAAGGAATGCCTGGAAGATGAAATTTATCTCATTACAAATTACCTACGTGAAAATGTATATACGGTGAAGTTCATCCAGAAATATGGCCAAACCAACCCTCGGGTTAAGTACAATATAAGTACAATATAATAGAAAAGAAAACCTGCTTCTTATACTTAGGCTTCAAGGGAGATGAAATCACTGAAATAATTAATCGCAGGATAAATTCCGCGTTGAAGATGACCTATACAGCAGCAAAACTAACGACGCTATGGGAAACGAACTGCTCGCTCAAACAAACTAAAACCGACAGATCCTCTTTTCTCAGAAGTTCCAACTGTATTTACCAATTTACATGTACGTGCCGAAGCACATACATTGGAAGAACCGAGAGGAGATTACATGTTCGCATTTCCGAGCATGTCCCAAAGAAATTGAGACTGCGAGGGACTAAGGGTCTTAAAATTGCAATAGCTCAGCATTTACTTGGCACCAGGCACACCACTGACATTCCTCATGCTTTTAAAATTATTAGTAGACAAAGAAATACTACTTCTCTCTGTTTTGCTGAAGCGATAGCGATAAGAAAAATACTCAAACCTCATTTGTGTATACAAAAAGAGACAGTGATAAACCTATTACGACCCTGGTAATTCAATTTTCGGTCATCAGTTTTATTTTGTTAATGTTTTGGTTTGTTATATATATCTCTTTCATCACCGAATTCTTAAACCACCCCTTAACTCATACATTTCCATTCACTCGATTCTCTTAAATTATGTAAACTTTTCAAATCCTATTCAATTATTACGTAACCCATCTAGTCAGTTTTTTTTAATTCCATGAATTTTATGTAAGTCCTTTATTACCTGTAAAATTATCATATAATTTATCTTATCTGTCTCTGAACTTCATTCAACTAATTGCAGCACCCATCTCTAATGTTTCCTTGATTCTAACACCAAATAACCTCTAACTTCTTGCATATATATATATAGTTATTATTGATAACCTTTGTCATTCCAACTTTCAAATTCTCCGTAGATTGTTTGCTAAATGTGGACACACATGCAACCATGGTATTTCCAAGTGATAATCAAAATTTCAACTGATGTAAGTGAAAATCAAATTTCATCCGATTTAAATGTTTCCCCAACTGACTTTTGAAACAAATTAAGAACCAAGTTTTCTATTTTCTCACCAGTTAGTTCATAAAGAAATGATCAACTCGCTATTCATCAATATATTCATCAATTTGATTTAAAGATTAGTGAGTACAAGATGTCGCTCAAAACAATTGACATATTTTAAACTTGTTTCATAAGTTGTATCGTGGTAATATTTCTAATTTTACTTCGTACTAAAACGTCTTCATATGTTTGTGTTTCCAGAGCAATGACTAAAGTGAATAGAATGCATGCAAGCACCATAACCCACTCAGCAATTGCACAATAAAGGAATTCCCAGTAGCCCTAAACACGTTGACAAAATAAATAAAATATTAGTTAAAGCACAAAATACTCTCTTACATAAATTTCAACATTAGTGTTGTGGTTACCAGATCTGATCAAGTTCACCAACTATGATTTCAAAACTAATAATCCGAAAGAAAGCTAGTTTTGAGACAAATACACCGTTTGCAGTTATAACATATGATTTTACGTTTGTTTGTAATATAACATTAAGTTGTTAAATTTAAGATGACTGAGATAAGATATTAACGTTATTTGGCTTGTATTTTAAGTGAAATTGTAAGATTGGTGAACGCAATGAATTTAAGTAACACACCGATAATAATGTCTTAGTGGCTAGCTGATTTGAATCCAATTTAAAAGAACGAATTAATATGTGATGAACATAAATCTGCCACTTAACTTCGTTTATTACACATAGGCTAACATCGTTTATCTGATAGTGGCAATAACAAGCCAAATACGGGTTACGTTGGATGAATTCGTTTCAAGCACTTGTTTATACAAACAGACATACACAATGAAAAACAGGGAAACAAAGTGGAAAAGTCGAGTGATCCAACTCGATTTGATCAAGCATGACTCGACCTTTATAACCAGACAAAAATAAGCTAAAGATATGTGACGAATAGTGTGAGCGATACTCGCAAACTCATAGAAAAACAGTCAATTACCTAGGTCATATGGACTACCGAAGATCAACAAACCGGGTATCTCATTAAGACTAAATTCGAACATGTACGATTTTCCTTATCATATTATAGAAAAGCGGTTAATAACCATTTTAAAACCATCCCACTAATGCTTAGAGAAGCATAGTATCAAGGATGTATTCCAGTTTGTCAACAAGATCAAAAACGTAAACACTAAAGGACAAACGATGATTTCCTTAGGCATAACATCGTTTATTACCTACGTTTCACTGAGGGAGACTGTTGAATGTATCTGTGAACAAAGATAACAAGTAATAGAGACTGCAATCCCTGAGGATGTGGATGTGGAGTTATTACTAAAATGTACTGTGAACGTAAGCTTCAAATTCACTGGTAAAATAATATTGACAAATAGATGGTGTAGAGATGAGTTCACCGTTAGATTTTTTCACTGGACTAGAAAACAGTCTACTGATATAGCAGAATGACAAGTTTTCATTTTACTGTCGATATTATCGATAATAAGATCATCCTATATAACTACTATACTGACCTAATAGAGACACCAAGGTATTTAATGAAGTTCATCCGTCTATTAAATTCACATGTGAGGAAGAAAATAGAAGTAGAACAGCCCTTCTAGGTGTTCTACATACAAAGAGAGTAGATTGGTCACTAAGGCGAAACTTAAACAAGAAAATGAGTTGGACCGGCCAATATACACATTTTCTTAGTTTTGTTCCTCTATAATATAAAGGGAACCTTATTAAAACGCTTCTCCATAGAATCAAGGCTATATGTGGTTGAAGAGGAAACAAAGGTATTAAGTACTACCCTGAATGAAAACGGACATCCAGAAAAACTTATAAATAAAAATTCGGCTAAGAAAAGAGAGATCAAGGAAGACCTAAATGTGATCAAAAATTCACTGTATATACGTAAATTTTAGAGTCAGTTCACCCAGCGAAATGCTGATGCTAAAGTTGCACAGAACAATTCAAGAAATATTTTTTGTAGGTAAACCACAATTATTGTGTTTACACGTCTTATGATCATTTCGAGATTGAAAGACAGATTGCCTAGACTAACCACCTCTTTCTGTGTCTACCAATTCAATTGCTCTTGTGGAACAAGTTATATTATTAAATTGGATATCTAATTGTAGGACCTGAAGAGAATTCATTGAAAAGGAAATTCTTAGTTTACACATCTGTGTTTCCATATCTATCAATAAATGATACCACTCTCTATCTTTCTTAACACAGCTTATGTTCATTCAATCAAGCTCGGTCGAGTCTGTACGACTTCAAAAATTATCTTTCTAGACACAAGCAATCCACACTGAATTGACGGACTGAATTTAACCAATCCACACTAACCGATAGGGTGAATTCACTCAAAATTCAAAACATGTTCATCCATAATATTTACAAAGTGGAAACTTACACCATCAGTTGGTTTCATTCGATAAATATTCGATGTATTCAATAAAGGAAGCCCGATTACGTTGAAATAAACAACTAGAAGTATACAAACAAATATTGGTGACGATTAAACTTGATTGACTGTTGAAATGTTAGTTTCAATCTTTATTTATTGTAATCATAAGCTTTCATTAAACGTTTGCCATTAATAGGAATTTAATTCATCATTCCTAATTTCTAAACTTAATTCGACCACATACTTATCTATAATGTACAGCATCTAGGTTCTAATGGTAACACTTAAATTTAGCTACGCCATTTATAAATATAACTAATTATAATCAATACAATGTTTATTGAGAAAAAGTCAGAGAATAAGGAAAGTGTATTCTAACCACTTCGTTGTGGTGGTGGACCTCAAGTAATTGTGTTTCAAGATTTGAGCAATGAATTACTTGTAATGATACCAATTTAATGTTACTCAAACCATCTCAAATCAGTTACGGATTTTTATTTGTAGGTAGTTTTATTGTATATTCTGAAGCTTAATTAAGTTCTCAGTACTTCACGTTTCATTTTATGAAATGTCCTTCGAATTAGTTTACAAATTATTTATGAGCTTTCAAAGGGAACAAATATAACTAATCATCACATGTTTGTTTAATCGATTTCAACCTGAATTCATTCCAGTTCTTGATACATATTAATGAAAGCGTCTTTGAATATAGAAATTCTAAACATAATTTTAGGCTTTTGAATAACAAGATAAATCAATGTATTGATTTGTCATCTAATACTCATACAATGCCCAGCATTTTATATTGTAACTACCGGTAGCTTTATAGGGCGAGAACATTTGAACTACTACTAGCGTACTGATAAATACTTTCTGTAAAAAATTATCAAGATGAGCATCATTGCAAGATTTTCTTCGACGAAAACTATTCTTTACATTTTCAGTATATATATATATATATATATATATATATATATATATATATATATATATATATATATATATATATATATATATATATATCTTGAAACTCACATAACATTGCTCCGATAACCATTTGTACAATAAGCAGAAGGCGAAAGCAACTAAACCAGAAAGGTTTCTCAAAATATTTGACCACTAGGCAACATCCAAACAATACCGACAGGACATGACACGTAAAGTTCCCAACTGTCATCAGATAGTGTATTTCATTGTAATTCTCCATCTGTAGATTGGAAATAAAATAAACTCATGAAGAATTAAAGTGAAACAAAACCTATTCAAATTTCTAACAATTCATTTCAACCTATTTCATTTTAGTGCTCCTAACTTGCATATTCCTTACTCATTTATAACTTTTGAAACTTAAATTTGTCAAGTTAAAATTATTTGTGCTCTATAAACTAACAGTGACTTCAGTTTTAAGTCATATCATTTCATTGATTATAAAAACTTTGATCAAACATCTAATTTAGTTATTAACAGTGATTCACTACTGGGTAGCAACAAATATCATGTTTGTTCAGTACCCAGTCTTGACTGAATTCCACTTATCAGTTGAAACATGATCACTGGACTAATTAATTCGATGTAGCTTGTACTGTTTTTGATGACGGTGGAAGTTAACAGAAAACTGTGAGCTCAGTGATGACGTCTCTGACTGTGACACAAGGTGGCAAAAGTTCAAGTACAAAGTGTAGCCGATGGATCCATTTGTGTACAGGTATGACTACTGTTATACCATAAGCATGGATTGTTATATCTTGTGTTTTATCTAACTGTTGGTAAATAAGCAAACTTTCCAAAGTTATTCAAAGAACAATCCAAAGTTTCAAGAAAAGATAATAATATAGTTATTGGAAATGCATCTGGTTACTGATGGACTTTAACTTAACCATTATGGTATAAATAAAGGCCATATTCAAAAATAATTGTTTATTACTAAGCCGAGATCTACCGCGTTTCAGTTTCACGTAAAAGCTCATAAAACTCTTCATGAGCTCAGCTGTTTTCTTTAAAAGGAGTCTTACCAAATAAGCAAATGAAATCAAATAATATGTAGTATTATGTATCATAAGTTGAAAGAATTTGAACTGGCGACAGTCTTATGTATTAAGAATCAATGCATTCCTGTCGATTTATTAATCTGATGTCAACCAATCCATCAATAACTAGGCTTTCCGTATCTTTAACATAGTAAGCAGTACATTGGAACATTTAATGCGCGAAAACGAATGTGTTGTTATTCTATGCGGAACAATTCAAGATCTGATGACAATAGTAACAATTCATTTCCGAAATTTCTTGTAGTAAATAAGAAAAAAGAACTGTGATTTGTGTGCTCAAGAACAAGAGGTTTGCACCTACATCCGTTCAGAACTATGAAATCATACAGATATTTAAAAAATGTATTTTAAATTATTTAATAACGGTTTCGACTATCCCATTGTTGACATTTTCGATTAACATCACCTGTGAGATGCAGGTATGCCAAAATGACGAATCCTGAATAGGAAAAAATGTACGTCTTAGATTTCTACATAAACTTGTACTTTGCTATGAATCGGTGAAAAACAAAATGATTAAATATCTGATTTAACATAAGAAACGGCTAAAATGCTGATATTTCATACTGTGAATAAACAGCTCTCGTAGATACCAGTTGAAGTAGAGTCAATTCCTTCCATTTTTGGTGATAAATAAAGATAGTAACATAAATCATTTGCAATTTATTCACTAAATTATGACGGCCCTCCATATAGGTCCATCAAAAGCACAAATGGATTATTACAAGTGAAATATTCTCACTAACTAAAACAACTTAACATTTAATTAAATCACAGATTTAAAGGAAATTCATTAAATTTCAATTGAGTAATTAATTAGCATTATCTATTGTTACTGACTTTCTGTGTTAGTGAGTAAAGTATTGCTTGTAAGTCTGTATTGAGTTAGTCAGTATAGAAAACAAAATAAATTAAATCCTCTTCTGAGAAATCGTAAAACTTTGCTTTGGCACAACATTTCATTAAAACCATGATTATAGTTGACAATCTATTATGTTAGCAATATTATAAATTATTCACGAGTAAAAACATAATAAACTCACATCGAAAATCGATAGACCGATTAAACACAATCCAGAAATGATCATTAATAGTCTGATAGATGAGTTGATTAGATGAGGAATAAGAGATTTGGTCATAATTACAATTTTACGTCTAGCTATCATGAACCAAAAACAGTTTCCCGCCATATCTAAAACGAGTGGACGAAGTAAAACACTATGTAATGTGTCACATATATATAAATATAAGTTGAACAATATGTCCCAACCACACTGCTTTTAATAGAAGTGAAGATCATTACTTAACGAGAAAATTTTCACATTAAAATTATTCTGTATTGACGATCGACGATCATTACATTCACTAATGAAACTGGTCACGAATGAGCTAGACAAATGATGCTGATGAACTCATTTGCATACTGTTCATGCTATTTAGTCGGCATTATTTGCAATTAGCTTCTAAATGTCATAATTCGAAATCATTTGATCTATCACATGTATACAAGCATTACCACAATAGAGAAATATATTTGCTGTAGCAACAACTGTGTACCGATGAAAATGCTTGTTTAGTGTGCCCCTTCATTTTGATGTCAATTAGATCAGACGATGATGTTATTGACAGGCTCATCACTTTTAGTGGCCCGATATCTCACTCCATTTAAATCGTATTATTATTGTTGTTATTGAAATATACATTCTGCCATTCCTCGTATAGAATTATCGACTTAACTCGCGTTCGTGATTGAATACGAGAATGAATTTCGAATACCTATTATTTTGTACAATTGTGGATCAGAACGGACAATCAGGGAGAGAGAGAGAACGAAGGACGCGAACTGGATATAGTCTAGCGAAATTAACTGGAGTAGTTATGTGAGCCGATTTATTTTAGTTAAATGTTACTCAGTATCTGTAGCCGAATCAAATCGATTTGAAGCGAATAATTATCAAGGTCAAAATGTAGCTTGAGAAGAATGAATAAATCGTTTTGTCCAGAAGCTAGAATAAGCTATGTAGGCTTGGTATAGCAGCCGACAAATGTTTTCTTCAAAATCGTTTCAACCATTCATCGAAAATCACTGAGAGTTAGAGTACATAATTGTTCTTTATAAAAATGATGAGATAACTACTATCCACTCAGAAAACCTATAATATTTAAAGAACAAACAAATAATGAAAACATACATTCACTGCGTCAATCAAACTAATTTAACCACTTAATGATTGTTTGAAATTTCCATGAGTAGACCTCTAGTCTCAAATTTATGGAAAGATTTTCTTCATGAATTATAAGGGAACTGATTAGCGTGGTTAAAATCCAGTTGCCGTTATGAAAATGTGTATCTCTCATCATCATTTGAGTTCCAATATTGCATTACACCTTTTGTTCATGAATTTAATTCCTGATTTCCATGTGACACTGCCCATTTCTAGTCTTATTAATTATATCTGATACCATTGTGATAACGACTACTATCCTATTCACCACAGTAATCCAATCTCTCTTTGCTGATACACTGAAACAACTTTGGTAGATATCCATTTTTCATAGATCTTAAGTCGAGTATGATTCAGTGATGAGGTCGAATTTATGAGATCGAAGTATATTGTGTTAAATACTAAATTTTGTCAAGCTGACCCAGAAACAGTGTACTAATATGTAATAACTTTTAACGGGTACTGGAAAATGTCTAATTTCTTTTGATGAAAACCAATCTTTCTGGAGAAAGTATTTACATATACTTATAGACCTTTAATTGAATTGACATAGCTTTAAAACGTGTTGTAAATCACATTACTCACTGAATAGAGCATAGCTAATCATCAGCACTCGAAACCAATGTTTTTCTGGTGGAAATACGCCAAATGAACTATAAATATATAAGCAAAGGATTTGCAGATTACTGTTTAAATGAAACCGATTTGTGATTGTGAAAACTATTTTATTCAAATGTGTTTTGAAGAGATAGAAACTAATTAATTTTTTGGAATGACATTACAAAACTGAGAAAACCCATTTTTTCTGAATATACGAAAACATTAATTAGAGTTTGTAATTTACAATACTTTTAGTTGTTCTAATTAAGTAAAAGGTATTTATAGACATCCCATAAGTATAAAGAGTAATAATAAATCTAAACATTCCCTTCATTATTTGCCATCAAAATCAAAAGTATTAAATTCAAGTAAACTATCTTTGCATATAGTTTTTCAGAAAATCATTCTCATCATTTATCATTCTAACCTAGTCAACATGAGATTAACTTCGTTAATGAATGATTGGTTTGTCCTTTTTCATTATGATGACCTAACGCTATGTAAAGATATTGATTTTTACTTTATTCAGATCACTGATTGATTATTCAACTTGTTAAGTGTCAAAACAATTGTTTTGTGGTCAATGATTTTGATTTTAAAATTCCAATCTCCTTACTAATTTGGATTTCTATCATATTTTGTAATCTCATGTGATTTAAACATGTGATGCTTAAATTTATTCTTTAAACTTTCGTCAATCGTCACTCATCATAATTTCTGATGATGGTTATCATAGTGTAGGGTTTGGTACTGTTTCAAGCCCATATAGGTTATTCTAGCCCCTGGACAGACCAATGTATTCATCCTTCTCAAGCCATATTTTTTACCTTGTCACTTATTCACTTATTAAGCCTGACCTTTTTTTATATGATCGTATGTGTGTTAATTACTTACCCTATTCATCATATGTCTGTAACTTATTTTTGTTTGACGATTGATATCGAGTGACGCTTGATTAAATCAAGTTGGATAACTCGCCTTCTCTGCTGCCCGTCACCTCGTTTCATTCCTCTTTGCTGCCTTCAATCTACCTCTGATTTTGTGTTCATAACAACGATTGTATGAAATAAACGTATTCAAAATCCATTGTTATATTTGTTTTATTTAATTCTTTTGATACTGAAGACTTTAAATCAATAACATAGCAGTTACTTTGAGCACACTAATTTAGTTTAATTGTTGCTATGCGGTTTCACATTTCTAGTTTAAACTAGTGACTTTGCCAATAATGCAACTAAATTCCCATTAATCTTATGATACTCATTTTCATTTGAATGCATAGAGATTCCGAAACCTCGTGATTTTTGAATAAACACTTTCCAGTTTTCGAGCATTTATCGGTAGATATCTAATTATAAAGAATTCAGCAGTCATTTGTTGGTTAGAATGCTATGTAAAAATTTTATATTTGTTATTTTTTGTGGAATCTGCCAAAATATATTAGTTTACACATTAAATTAAAACACAGAACAGTAAACATGGTGGCATTATAAAAAATTGATGTTATTTCGTTGAAATCGCAGTCAAAACTATGCAATATGGAATTCTTATTATTTATTTACCTACGCTTGTTACCTTTCATCGAGGAGCACGGGCCGCTCACCAACATTCTTCATCATACTCTATCCTGGGCGATCCTTTCCATTTGCTACCTAATCCTTTTGATGCCTGCTCCCGATTTCCGACGCAGTGTGTTATTTGGTCTTTCCCTTTTCAGTTTTCCTTCAGGATTCTAAGTTAGGACATGCCTCGTGGTGCAGTTTGGTGATTTCCACAATGTATGTCCAGTCCACTTCCAGCGCGTTTTCCTAATTTCCTCCTCAACTGGAAGTTGGTTTGTCCTCTCTCACATTAGACTATTGTTGATGGAAACCGGCCATAGAAAACTGAGTATCTTGTGTAGACAATTGTTTATAAATACTTGTAGATGTTTGGTGATGGTTGTGGTAGTTTTCGAAGTTTCAGCTCCGTACAATAAAACTGACTGTCTTTATGTTCGCATTAAAGATTGTGACTTTGATTTTGATTGACAGTTGTTTTGATTTGCATATGTTGTTCAACTGTAAAAATGCTGCCCTTAATTTGCAAATCCTCGCCTTTACATCTGCATCAGATCCTCCTAGTTCATCGATGATGCTGCCCCAATAGGTGCTTGTAGGATTGCACCTCTCCCGGAGCTTCTCCACAAAGTGTGATTGAGTTGGTGTTCTCCGTGTTGCATTTAAGGATCCTGCTTTTTCCTTTCTGTGTTTAGGCCTACTGATGCAGAGGCTTCTGCTACACTAGTTGTCTTGACCTGATTTTGTTATTATGGATGGGATAAAAGAGCTAGGTTATCTGCGAAGTCTGAATCGTCTAGTTGCATGCAAGCTGTCCATTGTATTCCGTGACTCCCCTGAGTTTTGGAGGTCTTCATAATCCAGTCAACCAAAAGAAGAAGAAGAAATAGTGAGAGCAAGCAACATTGTCGGACTCCAGTCCTCACTTGGAATTCGTCTGTCCGCTATCTTCTATGCACAACTGGGCACTGTAGTCCGTCGTATAAATTCCGTATGATATTGGTGATTTTCTCAGGTACACCATAGAGTCAAAGAAGGTTCCATAAGGTTCTTCTATCCACACTGTCAAATGCTTTCTCATCCTACCATATGTATCAGAAATTACAACGACATTTCCGAAGCCTTTTCGAATTGGCGTATCCCACAAACCGATGAAGTCACTTCGATCAATCCTATGCAAACCAAAGAATGAAATGATAAAAGAAGAAAAACCGAACATCATCTACAAAATAATTGTTCCAACTGCGAAAAACACCACATCAAACAAAGCGGATGCCCTCTTTATCTTCGCCTGCACGGACATGAATTGGCGGTCAAATGCCAAGACATATGACCAGTAATCAAATCATTGGGAGGTACAATCAAAATAGAGAGGCAAACAATGACAGGTTAAAGGTCAACAATAACCAATCAATATCGAGGTCTAGAGGACATTCTGTAAACCACATGTGGAGAAATTCGAACGCTACACTTCTACCTGAAGTTTGTGCTGATGATGTCGTTCAGAATAAATATGAAAGCTCTACGACCAAACCATCCAGCTCAGCGAACAAAACTCTACCAAAAAATGTTAACACTTCATATTAGTCATCCCAATGTTAACAACTTTATTTTATTTTATATGACAAACAACCCTTGATTCATATGTTATAATTTTAAATGATGTACCTTGTCTTAAACCTAGCTAATTTTTTTGGATTTTAAACATCTGATACCCATACCTTATGTTTATACCAGTTAAAGTTAATTCAAAATTTTACGGGATTTCAGTACCAAGATCATTGCAGTAATATAAGTTTAGGAGACATGATTAATCTTCTGTTTCATTGAGCATTGCTTATTTTATAAAAAGCTTGATTAATCGTATTTTTCCTAATGATTTTCTGCCCATCATATTTCGTTTCGTATTCCCAGTATTTCAGCAGTAACTAGTAAACATCAGCCAGTATATTAATGTGATAATGATTTTACAACTGGTTTTCTAATTAGTTACAACGAAATTAGTACAAAAACTTACCTAACAAATGGGAATAAACTATTTACATGCTCATAATGCACAGATGCTACGTACCTTCAGAAGGAAAAAAATAATTAATTCTGTTGAGATATGTACATATGAATGTGCAAATTTATATTATGAAATGAACGCACGTAAAGAAAGTATGAAGTTAAATAAATGTAATGAAGTTGAATTCTATGGAACCTAATAACAGGTACTTTCATACTACATTATCATGAGAGCAAGAAATGCACGCTACTGGGATTTTCTCTTCGGCAGGTAAATGCTATTCACTGCTTTCTGACTTGTCATAGTTTATGGTTCATCTTCATTTATCCATCATTCACAGACATTTAGTAACCAGATGTGTTTCTTAGGATTTGTAAGTAGAAAAAATTGTTATACAGACATCGATATACCCAACAGGAAGAATGAACTATCAATTCATGGTCTTGTTTCATGAGAAAAACCTCAAATCAGTTTTGTATACGTTGTTTTGCTTTAAAAAAGTAAATCAATCTCTGTAATATAGCTGTTGTCATTATAACATATCACTCTGATATTTTATACACACTTTTATGCATTGTTTATCAGTTTATCTTTATGATAAAGACCTTAGTTTTATCAAAACACTTTCCCTAAGAAACTCTTTCCTTCTGTATAGGTAATAATAATTTAAAAGTACTCTATACAGTGATTTTGAAAAGTAATCTACGAGCCTGTAGAAAATTGTGTATCATATTTATTTAGTGTGTAGCTCAATTCATCAATGATAAACTAACGAAATTGGGTGGTTTAGAAAACAAAGCTTCTTTAAGTCAAGTAAATTACAATCACATTATAGAAAAGATAATAGAAATGAACTTGATTTTGAATTTCCAAATTTACTCATTGTCAATGTCTTAGCACAATGAAAGTCCGATAAAAATGAGAATGAGTTATGACTTTTAAAGAATAAATATATGATGAACATAAATCTGCCACTTAACTTCGTTTATTATACATAGGCTAACATCGTTTATCTGATAGTGGCAATAACAAGCCAAATACGGGTTACGTTGGATGAATTCGTTTCAAGCACTTGTTTATACAAACAGACATACACAATGAAAAACAGGGAAACAAAGTGGAAAATTCGAGTGATCCAACTCGATTTGATCAAGCATGACTTGACCTTTATAACCAGACAAAAATAAGCTAAAGATATGTGACGAATAGTGTGAGCGATACTCGCAAGCTCATAGAAAAACAGTCAAGGTTAATAAGCGAATAAGTGAGAAAGTAAAAATGTGGTTTGAGAAGAATGAATAAACTGGTTTGTTTGGAAGCTAGAATAATCCATGTGGGCTTAACACAGTACTAGATACTATACTACTCTATAGGTTACCAATCAACCATTGATGTTTGATAAAATAATTTCCTTATCTTTGTCATTAGTTGTTTGTTTGAAAAATGATTCATGTTCATACGGACTTTAGTAGGCAATCAGTTTTCAAGTTTATCTATCTACTAAGATTTTTTCTTTAATCATCCTGTGGTACTAAGCTACGAGTGTTTCTGAGCTTACGTATTTCTGCATAGATGTATTGATGCATTTGTCAATACTAATTCAAATAGTGTAATTTTCGAAATATATTCATATCAAAGCAACTCAAGCAGATTTAAAGACAAGCTTCAAACCTCATCGGCTTAATAACTATATAGCAAATATTAACCACAAGAAAATTCGACATTTTTATTGAGAATTATAGTTACACAAAGTGCTTCATATATGCTATCAAATTACTGTCAACTCGATGTCACTTTCTTTGAGTAGTTTTTTAAAATAAATATTTAAAGCAAGAATTCATATAATTAGCTTACAATGGAGGTAATCCTAAAACAGCGATTGCAAAAGCAGTTTTAGAAAACCACAATGGTTTAAATTTTCTCCGACAAATTAACATTCAACTTCAATAATATTTCCCACAAGTTGAGTTAAAATCTAAAAATATAAAAAAAGTCATAATTCTCAGTATATTACGAGGCTGCAAATACAACTGTCGAGTGGATTTTAGAAAACATAATTTTATTACTCTCAATAAATGTATAACTTTTGAATGTTCTCCTAGTACAACTGGAGTTCAGAAGACTATAAATCGATCATTTACTCAGATAAGAAACGTGATCACTAATTCAGAGCATGTTATCTTTGAATATTACGAACTAGGATAATTAAGACTGATAATACCAATGGAACACAACCATTTGAGTCACATGTCTGATTTCTTTAATCGGTATTGATTATATCAGTGTAACATGTAAATGTTCGTTTCAATATTGATAAGATGAGAATGGGTTCGTTCATATTACATTTAGCTAACTGAAAACACGACAAATTATTCAATAATACGATTAACCATATAGACTACAAATAATGAAAAAAGCTATTCTATAAAAGGTATATTAATGATCCATTTTAAAATGTAAACCCAAATTATAAGTTACATTCATAGGTATTGTGCCTCAATTTTATAACTCCATGTAAAAAACTTACATTCTGACCTAATAAATTAAATATAATAAATAAGTAGTAAATAAGCAATCATATATAAACTCATTGAATCATGTAAATATAACATACTCATTATAAAAGACACTTCTTAATTTCACTTCAATCATATTTTCTGTTTGTCTGCTGAAATTTAAATCACACAATTTCTAATTCATAATAAATCATTAGAAGTTTTATAACATTGAAAATGATAATGAGTTTACCATATATTTACGTCTATTAGGTTTGTGTTTTGATTTGTTGATTTCGAAAAAGAATCTCTGAATATCTGTCCAGTAATAACTTTCAAGTAAGATAGCAAGAAAGAATTTCCGACTATTAAAGCGTGTAAACACTTCGTATGCTGGAAAACTTACAATTCAACACTTGATTTCATATCATGAGAAATCTAATTTTCTCTTAATTTAGATCATTTCTATTCAAAATAACTATGCTGTCATAACAAGTATATGCTGCCATTAAGATAATGATTAGTGATTCACTACAAATTATTACTAACTGGAAAAAATTCTGATTAATTCAGTATAATAACTCCACGTACAGCCCCTCAGAGGCTACTACTGGTCCCAGACTTGGATAAAGGAGGAGGGTTGAGCATGGGGTTAGAGACCTCATCCTGTAGAAAACTAACTTGCTAAAAAAATGCTAACCAGAAAAACAATTCAATTCTTAAAATCAAAATCCAATTAATATTGATTAACCTTCAATAAACTAATAAATGTTTAATCATTAGTTTGTTTCCGTTCACTCAGTGACTATTACATTCTAAATAACATTGCCTTTCTTATAATTATGAAAATGAATTGCTTTCAACTTCTTGATGATATCATCTTTGCTACCCTAATTGACATGATCATATCTAAGTAATGAAAACAGTTACAATCGTCGAATGCGTATATATATATATATATATATATATATATATATATATATATATATATAATAAAATACAATCATTCACATGACTGACAACAACTTCCATTAAATCATGTGTCACAAGCAATAACTTAATAAACTTTTACTTATTATTACATCATATTGTCATCAATACTTATTACAATATTTATTGTTTATGCATAAGGATAATATAAATCTTAAGTAATTTTCTTTTTTTTAAAAATCAATTGACTACTATTGTTTTTCTATAATTTTGGAAAAAAATATTTTCAGAAGGGGTTCTGTAGAGATTTTAGAAATTTCACTGATTGAAATCATGAGTTAATTGAAGCTAGACCAACATGGATAACCTGGAAGCACTGGATGGTCGTTTCGTCCTAGTATGGGACTCCTCAACAGTGCGCATCCACGATCCCGCACCCCGCGAGATCCGAACCCAGAACCTATCACTTCAATTATTGAAATTATTAAAATCTCCAAAAAACCCCTTCTGATATTATTATTATTATCAAATTTTCTAAGCTTATTAGATTGGTAAGTTCAAATAATTATATCATTCGATTTCTTTCCATTAACTTCAAAATTATTTAATATCATATTGTATATTTACTTAACGGTGATCATTTCTTTGTTTTAACAAATTTTTTTCAACAGTCGAAATCATGAGTCAATTGAAGCTAGACCACCATAGAAAACCTGGAAGCAATGGACGGTCGTTTCGTCCCACAATAAGACGTTCAGTGCTTCGAGGTTTCTTTATGATGGTCTAGCTTCAATTGACTCGTGATTTCAATCAGTGAAAAAAATATTTATTTATTTGTTTATTTCAAAGTTGATTTCATTCGTAATAAGAATATTAAATGACATTGAAAATGATGCTATCAAATGTATTCACCATTTGAATGTGATCAAGTTTAAACATGTTTATTTAACTAAGCTTATTAATAATAATTGAAGTAGTCATTTTCAGTATCATGATATCTTGAATAGATTTTGTGTGATGAATTAATTATTTGACTCCATATAAATCTATATGGATTAGTTACTGAACAAAATAAAGGTAAATTATAGTCAACAGATATTGGTATATTTAAACACTCAGTGAATTAGACAATTGATTTGAACTTGTTCTCATTCTAATAATAAGTAACAATTACTCAGCTAATAAAATATGTTTATTTATTTATTTATGTATTTGAAACTTGGTAATTAAAACAAAATAAGATAAATAGGAAATGTTGAATAGTACATTAACAAATTCGACTTTTAAAATAACAAAAAATCATTTTCAGTCAATGTATACGAAACAACTTGGATCGGATAAAAGTATTGAAGTTTATATCATATGTATGTATTCATTATTTTAATAATGAGTATCTAATCACTATACATTATGTGTGTTATACTAATCACTAACTTTTATATAAATTTCAGTACTTCAGATTTTAAGAAAGTCGAAGATACTGAAATATTAATTAGTAGATGAACCAATCTTAACGCTTTTCATCATTTTAAAACTACCCAGTAAAGAGGCACTTTTAATCAAAATCATTATAAATCGTGCTCTAAATCAAAATTATCCAGTTAGTACTGATATTTAGAAGACTTAACGATGTTCGTTTCCCAATAGCAGCTGAACAGTCAACTTCACTAGAATCTATTCAAAAATATAGTACAATTATGAAGGGTTGACAAAGAGTTTTAACAATGTTTTAAAGATTTCAAAGGGTTCAAAGAACAGCTTTACTTGTTGACAATTCCTCTTATCTTCATCATCTACATACGTAGTCACTATTTTCTGAGAGAGTTAATATATTTGTGAGATAATTACAGCCTGAACAGTCCTCAAACATATGCATTTTAATGAATTCTAGTCGTCATTGTCACAGGACAAGTTACTTAGATAGAAACGATTTTTACAAAAATGTTTTTCTTTTAGGGTCTATTTACATTTGTGAACATGTATTTTCATGTATTTACATGATTTTATTGTAGATTCAACAGATCACCACGTCAAACAAACGTGCTGAAACACACTCTCGAACGAATAAAAAAGATTATTCTTTCCTCTTCATAACCTGACCCGTACTTATCGGACTTCAGGAAACCACTATTTAAATGTCAAATCAAAATAATGATGAAGCACAAAATTCAGTCTCCATCAACTTCATTCTTTGTAAATATGGATGTTTAGCCTACATTATTTGACTGATATGACCTAATATTGTTTAAAAAGTATCTAATTTTATCTGATTCACACATTAATCATTCAAAGTGAGAACATACGGTCTTATTTTTCTGAGTTTATACTAACATACTGAGATAATTTTCAAAAGATCAAGAGCGCAGATCAATATTTGACGTCTCCATTATTATTGTTATTATTATTATTATTATTATTATTATTATTATTATTATTATTATTATTATTATTATTATTATTATTATTATTATTATTACAAAACTATACACTATGGTATTGCAGAAAAAATCATAGGCTTCGAAAAGCACTGAATCTAATCCTAATTAAATTCTAATAAATCTATCCAACTATTGAATGTATGATTCCACTTTCAACCAATATTTTATGAATGAACATCTTTTTAACCATCTAGTTTCCAAATTGTAAGTAAACTGCATAATATAACCAAATCAATTTGAGGATTGTAGTCTGCAGGGAAATGTAACGATAAGTAGTGAGACGCCGACGATTGTAGAACGTATTTGATAAGCTTTCACATAATGTACAAGAAGATTGCAGGCAATGTACTACTTTTCTAGCTATGCGTGGAAATGTGACTCGAATAGGTTAGTTGGAATAGGTCTAGTATTTCTTCCATAATCAATGTGATTAAATAAAATAACATCCCAAACAATATAAAGTTGTGAAGTCAGTGGAATGTGAAAAGCAAATGTGAATTAAAATAATGATTAAAATAAAACCACATTTCTCTTATACACAGAAGTCATGGTCATCCGTCCTTCCCTACATTTAGAGTAATTCAACTCTACCTAATACTATACTTACACCCCAAGATTTCATCAGTATAATTACTATCCGTACAATTACTCATCAGTCACGTGAATTTATGCGTCACTTCTTAAAATCTCAGATTCGTTTGAATCATTTGATGGCCATCTAGTAATGACTACAGTATGATATTCACAAAACTGTCATTATTACTCGTTTGTTCGAAATGATTAAATCAATCCATTCACCCTCACGATAATTCATGTTAAAAACTTTATTTACACATGCGTAGTAACCAAACATTACTTACGTCAAATTTAAGTGAGCTACCATTCCCTATATGACATTTGCTGAGCTAAAATCTCAGATTTCAGGATTTGTTTTTCACATAATTTTCAACAGAACTAGTACATTTACCAAAGTAGGATCGGATGAAGACTTACTTCCTGGTTCGATTTTCCTAAAACAGAAAACATTACAAATTACGATGAACTAAATTATATTTGTAAGGTAATGTCAACTGT